CTACTACTACTACTACTACTACTACTACTAATGCTACTACTTCTACTACTGCTACTACTACTACCACTCCTACTCCTACCACTACCACTACCACTACACTACACTACTACTACTACTACTACTACTACTACTACTACTACTACTACTACTACTACTACTACTACTACTACTACTACTACACTACCACTACCACTACCACTACCACTACCACTATCACTACCACTACCACTACCACTACCACTACCACTACCACTACCACTACCACTACCACTACCACTACCACTACCACTACCACTACCACTACCACTACCACTACCACTACCACTACCACTACCACTACCACTATCACTACCACTACCACTACCACTACCACTACCACTACCACTACCACTACCACTACCACTACCACTACCACTACCACTACCACTACCACTACCACTACCACTACCACTACCACTACCACCCTCCCCCATCGAAGGCGAAGAACTACTGCAGCGTCCCGCAGTTCAACAACGAGGCGGCCTGCACCGCCAACGGCGGGAGGTGGGAGGACCTGTCGCGGCGATCCGCGGGCCTCTGGTGAGCCACGGCCATGCTTGTCTTTTCCTCTCCTTCCTTTTTGTTTGTCTGGAGGAGAAGGATGAGGACGGGGGAGGAGGAGGAGGAGAAGGAAGAGGAGGAGGGGGAGGAGGAGGAGGAAGAGGAGGGGGGGGAGGAGGAGGAGGAAGAGGAGGAGGAGGAGGAGGAGGAGGAGGAGGAGGAGGAGGAGGAGGAGGAGGAGCATGGAGGAGCATGAAGGAGGAGGAGGATGAGGAGGAGGAAGATGACGAATGGGATTTGGAGGAGAAGGTAAGAGGGGAAAATTGAGAGGAGGAGACAGAGGAGAAGGAGGAGGAGGAGGTGGACAACGAAGAGCCTCTTCGCCCCCCATTCCTACTCCTCCGCGCCCGTCCTCCCCCGTCCTGATGTTGCCGCTCCTTCTCCCCCTCCTCCTCCTCTT